CTTGCATCACCAAACCAAGTTCATTTGACTGATAGCTTATTATGCTTGCACGCGCTTACCCGGGGTCGCACTAGCTCACGAAAACTTCGCCGTTCTATGGCGTGCATCGGTGCTTTGTCATTGGCTGCCAATGTGCAACCCCTTTGGGGTTACGTGCGCACTAGTCAGAACCCTGCCGACAAGCCCTCGAGGTGGGGCAGGCGGGTCAGGACAAAATTTGGACATGCCAAAGCGTAAGATTTTGGAAGTGGCAGACCAAAGTGACAGAGCTAAGATGTGCCGTGAGCTGGGAACCCTGAAGGATCTGGCCGTGCAGCCAGCAACTAAGCGTCGGTATGACAAAGCCGCGGAAGGTTTTTTCACCTTCTTGAAACAGGAAAACCTGGTCCTACCAACCCGCAAGGATCGTCTTGACCCTCTCCTGTGCGAGTACCTGGAACATTTATGGGCCACCGGAGTTGGCAGGGGACAGGCAAATGATACTGTGGCGGCATTGCAGCACCTACAGCCAAGTCTTAGAGGCCATCTGGCGGGAGCATGGAGACTCTTGAAGACATGGGCTATTAATGAAATCCCTAACCGGGCTCCCCCAATCCCTGAACAAGTTGTGCACGCCGTGGCCGGCTGGGCCTTTTTCCATGGCCATTATACTTTTGGTGTCTTGATAGTGCTGGGCTTCTATTGTATGCTGAGATCGGGAGAGTTGATGGGATTGAATTCCTCCCACATGTGTTCCTTAAAGGAGAAACAAGCCTTGATTTCGCTGGGAATGACTAAGGGCGGAAAGCGTCAAGGCGCCGCTGAAAGCGTTGTCCTTGGTGTTGAGTCAGCCTTCCGGTTGATTCACTACTGGCAGCGGTCAGCACCTGCCGGCACCCCTTTTTGCACTAACCCCAGCAAATGGCGTTCTCTTTTTAATGAAAGTCTGGAGGCCATGAATCTCTCCAAATTTCACTTTAGGCCCTACTCCCTCAGAAGAGGGGGAGCCACCCTAGCAATGCTGGCCAGGACTCAAATTGATTTTAAGCATCCAGATGTTCTCTCCTTTTTGCAAATCTTTCACCATACAGTCAAAAGGCCTAACTTCTCCACAGTTGAGCCTCCGGTTAAAACCGGAAGGAGTGGGGGTCGTGGAATAAAGGCCAAGGAGCGGGTGAGAAAGCGTGTTCAAAAGTGCGCATTTGTATGTCCGAGGTTAACTATTATTTCGGTATGCCAAACTGCTAGGAGGTTTGGTTCGGCAGTGTTGGCAACTAGAAAGAGCTTAGTCCTTTCCAACACTGGGTTTGGCCGTGTGGTCAGGGGAAGCTTGCGGAAGGGGCCTGCTAATAGTTAACCCTGTTTGCTATTTTATTATGACAAATATGCTGCGAAGTGGAGCAAAAGAAATGCAGTGACATCTTTATATATTGTATTAATATAATATGTATAATATTTTTTGTTTGTTCTGAACATGCTCGTGATATACCCGCTACATCTCGGTTTCCTGGCTTCTCCTGCTTTCCCAATTACCAAAATTGTTTGACTCTGCAGTGGCTTGTGCCCTGGGGCTTCTGTTGCTGAGAACTCCAGGGTGGTTGCGATACGTATCTGTTTTAGACAATATGTTATGAGCATGGAAAGGATCAAGAAAAGAAGGAAGACAAAAACATAGGCTGATATGAACTGATGTGTATATAATATTTGTTTATTGTGTAATACCTGAAGATGTAACACTGCTACTGTTTTTTTTGGTGTTTGTAAGGTCTCGACTCTCCCAGACGAATCTTGGCTGCATTCAGACGGCCCTTGCTGTCAGAGTCAGAATTGTCGAACTGGCAACAGTAGAAACATAATGAAGCAGGAGATCGAAAGCCCGGTCAGAATTTCTGAATCAGAGGCAAATTCGTCCGGCGGAATGAGTCGGTGGACGAAGATATGTTGAAACCAGGTAGTCAGGACACAAATGGTAGGCTTAGGTTCGAGCAGAACATGACCAAAGTCCGTCATTTTGGGATGTAGGTGATCCTTTCCCCCAAACACTGTGTCCACACTGAGGGGTTCTTGCAGTAGGTGTCAAGGCCGGAGTTAGATCAGGGTGCTCCCTTCCATCTGGTCCCCGGCATTTCCTTTAAATTCTCGCGTAAAATTGCTTTTGTTAGATTAGATGTCCTCTGCATTTCGACCGCGCAGGCTCGCACACAGTGGTTGTCGCGCTCCTGGAGCACGGCCTTTTTGCTGTAGGTTCTCGTATTAAACGGCTCTTGTGAGATGTCTGTGTGCATTTCGATTCTCACATATCTGCTGACTCCTGATTTGCACGTCACAGCACATTGCGTCCTAGCTTCAGGGTTACACAGCTAACCTTCGATATTGAGCATTCTTTTTCCCCAAACAGCGTGTCCACACTGAGGGGTTCTTATGGTAGAAGCTAAAGGGCCGGGGTTGGATCAGGGTACGCTCCCTGGCCCTGGGCTTTTTTGCTGCAAATCCTCGCGTAAAAGTCCCTTGTGAGATGCCCATGTTCATTTCGACCGCGCAGGCTCGCGCAAAATGTGCGCCTAAGTTTTGTCTCTTTCGAAAAACCCGCTGCTCTTTTTGAGTGGTGTCCATTTCGTGTGGCAGGCATGGGACATCCGGGGCATTTTGACGTCTAAAACCTTGTTTTGCGTGACAGGTGCATGGGACGCTTTTGCATCCGTGTGGCAGGCGTGGCGCTTTTTGCACCTTTCTACAGCGCCGGCGGGCATGGGTCAAAATGAGAGGTGGTTTTGGAGGTCATTTTTCGCAGCAGGCGCAGTATTTGGTGAATTTGGACGACGTTTTGAAAGGGTCGAAAGCTGCATTTTGTGAAACTGTCGTCGCGTTTGATTTTGGGCATGGTGATGATTTTGCGAGGCAGGTGCAGTACTTCGGAGGCCTAGGGACCGTTTTTCGTGGCAGGCACAGTACTTTGTAGACCTCGACAAAAAAGTGGTTGAGGCTTAGGTATAAACGGTGTTTTTGATTCTTTTAATGTTCATTTTTCGTGGTGTGCGCAATGTCTTGTTTAAATCGAACGTGTGCTCGCGAAACCCTCTCGTCACTTTGGGGGCGTGTCGGATCGCTCTCGTTGTGGCGCGGTGCGCATTTTGATATCGCTGGTGCAACCTTCTCGGCACTTTGTGTGTGTCGGATTGTCTCGTTGTGGCGCGGTGCCTCTTTTAGCTGATTCGCTTGGATCCCGGTAAAGAGAATTTATTAGTATTAGTTGCTTGTTTGGAATGGCTTTCTATGACGCTCTTGCAAGGGTTTCACGGCCCGTAATATTTCAAGATCTTGACCAAGGTCTTGTAGAGATCCTTGTGAGAAGATGTTGTGCAGATCCGGATGAGATACTGTCGGGAGCCCTTGCCAGGAGATCTTCTGAAGATCCTGCTGACATCCTCTAAGAGGTCCTTGCATGATCTTGCGCAGGTTCTTGTGAGAAGACCTTGGGACCTTGTGGAGACCCCGATAAACTCCTGTCTAAGAGATGATCCTGTACAGTTCTTCAACAGAAGATCTTGTGGAGATCCCGGTGAGGTCCTCTCTAAGAGGTCCTTTTATGAAGATCTTGCAGATGCCATGTCTTAGAGGTGCTGGTATGAAAGCTCTTCTGGGAGGCTCTTGGGAGGTTCTTGCAAGATTTTGGTTGAGCAGCAGCAGGTCCTTTTATGACGATCTTGTGAGGTTCTCTTAGGGGTCCTGGCATGAAGATCTTGGCCAAGGTCTTGCGAGAAGATCTTGTGGAGATCCTAGTGAAATGCTGTCAGAGGCCTTTGCATGATCTTGTGCAGTCCTTGTGAGACGCTCTTGATGAGGTCCTGCTGAAATCCTCTAAGTCCTAGGTGTCTTTGCATGATCTGGTCCAGGTCCTTGTGAAAAGATCTTGTGGAGATCTGGTTGAAATACTCTTCAAGAGGTCCTTGCATTAAGTTCTTGAAGATGCTCTGCGTTGGTGCTTGTGTGAAAGTTCTCCTGGGATGCTCATAGGAAGATCTTGTATGAAGATCTTGTGAGATCATCTATATAGACCATAGAAGGTCCTGCTGCTGCAGCTGCGATAATGTCTAACCTAATTTGTTACCGTTCCATAGCTACTGGTGCTTGTATCTGTTACATCGGCTTCGTAGCCCCCAAACTGTTTGGGGCCTCTTGCCGGTGTAATTAGTGCAATTTTGTTTTTATCCTCCGGCCTAGGAGGACCAGCCTTTCAGCAGCGGATCGGGTGCAGCTTGTGATGCGTTCCCGTCTCAGTCAGGATTTCCCCGTATTTTATGTTTAGCATTCTTGCCTTATGGGTTTTGTGTGTGGATTCGCAACTCTACCTCTAGAGTTGTCGCGCCTTCGAGAAATCAAGGACCCGACTGGGCGAAAAGAATTACCCAAGACTCAAAAGTTAAGGTGCTGCTCAGTCTTTCGAAGAGCACGTTCGGAAGGAGACTGACAATGAGGCAACCGCAATCCACCTTCTACACTTAGACGCAAACAATTGCTGCACAGGTGGAGGTGAAACCTCTTCAAGCGTGTGTAGGTTTCTTTTGTTACTCTCGTCCTTCGCAGGTCAGCCGCTTTCAAATCCGTGATATCTTCGAATACAGCGATATTGAACTGCTAGAAACTCAACTGCACACTGGCCTGCGAAGGAAACTGGATGGGATATTGACATGTCACATGTGTAAGTGAAACACCTTGCAGAGCGTATCTTGCCTTGGCTTCAGACACAGGACTGTACGACAGGGTTGCAACAAGGCCGTCCCTCAGGTTCCACGATACAAGGCTTGAGGACTTGGAGTGAACAAGAAGACTCTGTACAGATAAATTTATAATTATACGTACAAGATTTACACGTACATCAATGAGAAGGACCTGCTCTGGCAGGTTCTATAATATTCTTGTTGAGTGGTTGTTCCGCCGCGGAGGGATCCAAAGGAGAGTAATTAGGTAAAGAAGGTCTCGGTATGCCAATGGTGGGCCAATCTGACCACTCCTGTTGCAAGGACTTGAAGAAGAAGGCAATTACAAGGAATACCTCTGAAGACTCTCGGCCAAGTTGGAAAGCGAAGTTGTTTTTGGGATCTTGCGAGGATGTTGGAAAAAGAGCACTCGGACAACCAGTGTAGCGTTGGAAAGGGGTGGGAAGATGGTTGAAGTGTTGAAGATGTTGAAGCGACCCGCAGCATGTCTCATAGTTTGTCCAGTAAAGTGTCTGAAGTGTTTGAAGTGTTTGAAGTGTCAAGTGGACGAGCCTTGAAAGGGAGGGTGTGTGAACGAGTGAACGAGAGGTGCATGCCTTCGGAGAAGGTAAGTTAGAACCGGGACTGTTGCGAAGCAAGTCTTCCTTGGAGGTCCAGGAGCGCAGATGCTTTTTGCCTGTCCTCCAGATGCCCTCCAAATGTTTTCCAATAATCCCAATGTGCCTGCAGGAACACAAGCTTTCAATGACCTGGAACGAGCGCTTTCCTTTGCATCCGTTGAAAGCTTGGTACTGTCTTTGCTGCAAAGGCCTTCAGATCTTGGAAAGCAATTTGAATTATGGCTTCGCTGGTTCAATCCTTTTGACCCGGATCTTCCTGTCAAAAGTAGCTACTTTTTGTATTCTAGACGTATGATTCCCCATGATCTAGTAACCAACTTTTTTTTGGGGGGTTCATTTTCCACTTCAAGGGGTTTGTTCCGTGGCAGCTCTATAAGGTCTTCCAGGCCTCGAATCTTTTGGGATGCTTGGCGGAGCAAAAGACAAACATGAAACAAGATGACAAACGTGAAGCAAACATTGATGTCGCAAATGTCACATGTGTAGGAATCCAATCTTGGCAAGCATTGATGTCACTTGTGTCAGCTGGATGGTCATCGTTGTCCCTGAGGACTTCTGCGCCATGTTTTTCCTGTGCTACGATCTTGCCCTTTGGCTTTGAATTTGAAAGGAATGTGGCACAGATCGCCAACCATGACTTGGCAGACTTGAATGCATGGCTCCATCCAGTACGCAACATTTTTAATGCGGCTTCAGGCTTAGTTACGGTAGGTAGTTTGGTCATGTTGTAGACAAAGTGGAAGAGCCAAGGTGATCATTCCTATGCAAGTTCCGGACCTAGTGTGCTGTCAGCTGTGGCACCTGCAGCTGCATGCAAAACAGTTCCAGCATGTTCCAGCATGCAGCAAAAAGGATGCGAAAGCAGCAGAATGCAGCAGAAAGCAGTAGAACGCAGCGCTATAAGGTTTTTGAGATGCCGCAAAGCGCCTTCCTCGAGGCTCTCTCTGTCTTGTGCTCAGCATGCCTAGTGCATCTAGTGCACAGTGCCTTAGGGTACCTCAGGGTGCCTTAGGGTGCTTCATGCCTCGAAGAGCTCACCTTGTAGCAACCCAAGGGAACACCAAGAGAAAACTCTTGGCTAAATATGTGCAGCAAAGAGTTTGGGCAGAGTTTGAACTCTTTGTCTTTTGCAGCGTGATGCTATTCAAAGTCTTCACATTTTCAAATCAGTGCTTCTTTAACCTGAGATGACGTGCACAATCTACTGGACGCTGGATATTGGAGCATCTATGAACACTGCCGTTTTCATCAACGGTAAGTTGGTCAGCGACAGCCGAAGAATTTGTCGACAGTGCCTCTGCGCAAGCTTAGACTGCAGCCTTCTAAGACACGCGGGGCTGAGCTTGGTAGCTTAGTCAATGGAGACTTCAAGCTGGGCAAGCTGGAAAGTACTTGGCCATTTTCCTGTCGCCCTGATTGGCTTCAACCCAGGTATGCAATAACTTGGATGACCTTGGACGTCATGCTCGCCACGAGCTTAGAGTTGATAGCTATGGATTCCACTGTCCATTCTGATGTGTGGACATGATGGACATTTTCTCAAGGTACTGGGAGACTGGACCACTGTGATTTTGGGTACTGGTGCTGCAGATCCAATGAGCTTGGCGAGAACCTTAAGGAGCATTCCTAATTGAGCTTGGGGAGTAATTTGGTATGGATCTTCGGATCTTCTTGGTCTTGTTCTTCTTGTTAGGGTTCTTGTTGTTAGGGTTCTTGTTGTTAGGGTTCTTGTTGTTAGGGTTTTTGTTGCGGTTTTTGTTGCGGTTGTTGTTGTGGTTGTTGTGGTTGTTGTGGTTGTTGTGGTTGTTGTGGTTGTTGTGGTTGTTGTGGTTGGTGTGGTTGTTGTGGTTGTTGTGGTTGTGGTGGTTGTGGTAGTTGTGGTAGTTGTGGTTGTTGTGGTTGTTGTGGTTGTTGTGGTTGTTGTGGTTGTTGTGGTTGTTGTGGTTGTGGTTGTTGTGTTGTTGTGGTTGTGTGGTTGGTTGTGGTGGTGGTTGATGGTGGTGGTGGTTTGTGGTTGTGGTTTGTGGTTGTTGTGGTTGTTGTGGTTTTGTGGGGTTGCTGGTGGTGGTGGTGGTGTGGGTGGTTGTGGTGGTTGTGGGTTTGTGGGGGGGTTTTGTGGGTGTGGGGTGGGGGTTGTTGTGGTTGTGTGTTGTGGTGGGTGTGTTGTTGCTGGTGGTGTGGGTGGTTGTGGTGTTGTGGTTGTTGTGGTTGTTGTGGTTGTTGTGGTTGTTGTTGTTGTTGTTGTGGTTGTTGTTGTGGTTGTTGTTGTGGTTGTTGTGGTTGTCGTGGTTGTCGTGGTTGTCGTGGTTGTTGTGGTTGTTGTGTTTGTTGTGGCTGTTATGGTTGTTGTTGTGGTGGTGGTGAGTGTGGTTGTCGTGGTTGTCGTGGTTGTCGTGGTTGTCGTGGTTGTTGTGGTTGTTGTGGTTGTTGTGGTTGTTGTGTTTGTTGTGGTTGTTGTGGTGGTTGTTGTTGTGGTGGTGGTGGTGAGTGTGGTTGTTGTGGTTGTGGTGGTTGTCGTGGTTGTTGTGGTTGTTGTGGTTGTTGCTGTTGCTGCTGCTGTTGCTGCTGTTGCTGCTGTGGTTGTGGTTGTGGTTGTGGTTGTTGTTGTTGTTGTCGTCTTTGTTGTTGTTGTTTTTTTTGTTGTTGTTGTTTTTTGTTGTTGTTGTTGTTGATGATGATACCCTCGGCCCCAGAATCTAGACTTTATCTATTCACCTTCAAACTTTGGAGGTCAGAATGATTCGGAGCCAAAATGCGCCCTGACATGCACCACAAACTTGCATTCGCTCCCTGTGGAAGCAATCGACGCCTTCCAGGACAGGACGAGTGGTGCGCATGCTGCGATTGGCACGACTTCTTAGGTTCATGAAAATGTGCATCGGCTGAACTCATTCAGTTTCTATGATTGCTCGAGCAGGTGCATTTATTTGTCGTGCGTCGTGGAAATTGATCAAGATATTACAGTGTGGAGAAACTACAGTTGCAACATGTTGGGTCAACCGTAGGGGTTTGCCGAAGCAAACAAGGTTTCTGAGCTCGTGACCATTGGGTGGGTGGGGGGGGGGGGGGGGGGGATGTTAACGTTCATTGCGACTGCTAGGTTCTCTTGTACTTCCGCACATACGTCATGCTAAGCTACTTTGGGGGGGTGGGGGGGGTGGGGGGGATGTTAACGTTCATTGTGACTGCTAGGTTCTCTTGTAGTTCCGCACATACGTCATGCTACGCTACTGCTAGGTTCTCTTGCACTTCCACACATACGTCATGCTACGCTAGGATCAATGAAGAACGGCAATCTGCCACGAAAAATTGCCACTCATGCGGCACGCGATCAATAGCACCAAACATTCGAACAATTCATCGAAACTCAACATGGTTCCGAAAGAAGTTTAATTATGATGTTCAAAAAAACACACAACTTTATTTCTCTTTCCAACAAATCTCAAGTTCAAAAACCATGCTATTTTTTCCGCGGGATCCCGCGAAAAAAACATGTTCGCCAAACATGAACCTGGTTCAAACAAACATCCCTGATCATGCAAACATCTTGCGAATGCTACTGTAAAACCAATGAAAAACACTGAAAATACCATGATATTTCCTCCTACTAAACGGCTGCGGATGGACATACATGATCTTAACATATGTTACCCTTCTGCAAACTCATTCCGACTCACGGCAAACCCCCCCGGGAAACCCAACATGCTGAAGATTCAGTTTCAGGGCGTTCCACATGCCGCGATATGGAGAAACCAAGGAAGCGTTTGGTTGATGATGTGAAACGCCGTGCCAGCACTGAGTTGGTAGCCGCCTCAGTTGTGGCCAGCTTTCATACAGTGCATGTACAGTACGGCATGTCCTGGTTCTGCTTCAAGGGGGTTTGATGACAAATCACGCCTTTATATACTTGAACCGTGTTTAGGTGCTCTTCGTGATCAACGTCATCCAGCTGTTTCTATCGACAGCTCTTTTGACACACGTCTTGGCCTGCGTATGGTGCTGAGACAGGTCTCAAGCAACTTTTTGGATTTTGTGTTCTCTCGAGACTCTTGCGCTTTTCTGCCTTTGTGTTGTGTTCTGCCGGAGAGTTAGGATTATCGTTTATCGTTGAAAAGGAGTGCATTGTAAGCACTAAGCAGCTTTGACTTGCGCAATTGAGTCACATAATTGTCATAGTCTGCACGGATGTTTCATATTTCTGAATCTTGACTGCTGGCTCTATAGTGGCATTCTAGCCGGAAGCAGCTAAGCTTTGAGAGCTGCTTAGGTTTGGTACCTTTTAGGCAGCAGCGAAACTGTGACTTGGCAGCAGCATCACTTTCCACAGAGCTCTGTATTGTTCTTCACATGTGTAGTATATGATTTGCCGTCTTTGTTTTTGAGCTGATTGTGGAACAGCTGCGTGTGTTCCGTTTAGGGATCTCTAGTGGGCTGGGTCTATATTAGTGAGCTGCCCGTTTGCTGGAGATCCTTTACAATTCTTGGCTAGTAACTTAGTAGGCACATTTTGGCTGGTTTGGTCGGAGAGGATTTCGTCCCTGACCAGTACTATGTCATTAAGTAGCATGAAAGAGCATCGCCTTGCCTTTTTGGCTTCCAGCGTGCCTAGTTCACCTTTTTTTGCTTTCCGCCTTCAAGACGTACATGCACGTTCAAACCAACATGTTCTTTTTCAACTGACAAATTTCTCTGGCTGAGGATGGCTGTGTGCACACAGAAGGCTTGGTTGGCAACGATTTAGGACAGTTGTTGCAGTATTGCATTGTATTGGATGGCTTGAGAAGTGACGCAGTGTTGACCCCAACCCTTCCAGTGGTATCCCACTTCCGCTGTCTCCCCACGCAGCCATACCATGCACTGACGCTGAGCCCCTGCTGCGGCCCTCCACGTAGCAACTGCAGCAGGAGCAGAAGTTTATTGACAGCAGCAGTAGTCAAACATGATGAAACGAATAAAATCAACGGTAATATTATATATAATGTTTGTGTTAGCAATAGTAGCTGCCTGGCCTGCCAGCTAAGGCGCCTACCAAGGTGTACTACACACTACTGAGCCATACAACACATCACCAGGCGATTTCACACCTGCTCACCCACTGCATGTTGGTTTGCAGCAGCTGCAAACTTTCTTAGATGCGACCTGTTCCTTTTCTGAACGCAACCCCTAGACTACCTACGCAGGATCTCAATACTGTAGTCAACCTACCTCGCTTGCTACCTGTATGCCAAGTACGGTTCGCAAAGCGCCGCAAAGCATTTTCTCACAAGGAAAAGGAACGATGACAAAGATACAGAGACGCACTGTCATCCTCTCTGTAGTGGTTTTGTTTTGATTGTTTGGCATATGCATTTTGATACCAAAACACATGCCCTTTGCAAGGCTCTAGTAAACCTCAGCCCCAGACTACCGAAGTCCCCACACTTTTGGAGGCATTTTTGTTTGCGTCCGGTTTGAATCACTTGTTGGCAAGGCTTTGTGTGAATTGAAATGCTGAGTCCCACTACTATTAGACTATGGAAGTTCGATAGGTTCCCTTGAGACTGTTAGCTTCCCAGGAGTTTCATTGCCCATTATTTGAGCCCAAGTTGACTTGCGGCACGCTGTGTGATCGGACTTCAGACTCAAGTGTCGGAATAAAAAAAGACAGTATCGACAATGGGTTTGAAAGGATGTAGCCATCTCCAAGGCACTCTAAGGCTGCCTTGAGGGAAGCTCCAGCTGTATTTATATGTTTTTGGCGAGGAACCATCTATTTGATGAGCATGCAGTGGTCTTTGTCCAGGCGCTGGTCAAACTTTGAAGTCCAGACTTGCAGCTCACCTGTGGGACACAGTGTTTTGTTGGCACCGCTCCAGAATCCAATGGAGGGCTTGGCGTGTTTCTCGCCTGGACAGGCTGCACCCCATCTCTTTGAGGGACAATATGAAACTTGTCACTAATACATCAAGCTTTGCAGCTGATGGGTTATGTTTGTGCACTTGAAGTGCAAAGGGCCAGGGCTGACCAGGGTGATCCTTTCTGAATGACTGCAGGAAGCTGAAGCTTCCGCAAGAACGAATGTTTTCATTGGTCGCCAGCTTTGGATCGTTTCTCTTTTCGTCCATTTTCATCAGCAGCCTGGCGCCAAAATGCTTTCGTTGAAGGTCAGCTACACGACAGTGTGGCCAGAAAAGAACAGGAGACACAAATCAAACGCTGATTCCAAAGAGAAACCACATCCGCGAAGGGCTCATTCCAAAAGACATATGTATACGAACCGTGTTGATGTTGATGTTGATATGGATGATGATGATGATGGTGATGCAATGGTGATGATGATTGATGATGATGGTGATGATGATGATGGTGATGGTGATGATAATGGTGTTGATGATGGTGATGATGATGGTGATGATGATGATAATGATGATGGTGATGGTGGTGATGATGATGATGATGATTTTACACAACTTTTTTTTACACACACACACACGCAAACCATGACGCACAGAAACTCTTACGCGCAGAAGCTTTTGAAAACAGCAGTTTTCACACGCACACGCGCGAACTTTTACGCACAGAATGCTTTTACACACAGAGAACGCTTTTACACACAGAGAACGCTTTTACACACAGATGCTTGTACACGCTGTCGCTTTCACACAGGCACACACACACACACACGCGCGCAAAAACTTTTACAAACAAATGCCTTTCTGCTACGCACAGGTGCTTTGACACAAATGGTTTTTCACAGAAGGCTTGTAGACACAGGTGCTTTGTCAGACAGGCGCATCTAGACCCGCACGGGTGCTTTTACACACAAGAAAACACAGAAACATGCTTCTATATAGGCAGATTTCTTTACACACGCGCTTGCTCAGAACAACGTTTCAAATTTGGCTGTTGGACTGTTTCCCGCAAGAAGAATCAATTTAGGAGAGGAGGAGGAAGAGGCATAAAGAGAGAGGAATTGCGATCCTTCCATCGAAAGCAAATTGACAAGTCGCCGCCTTCATCCGTCCATTGTGTTGAAGCTTAACGATCCCGATGAAGAACTTGCCGGGGGAAGCCAGATTACGGCAAACGAGCAAAAACCATGAAAAAGAGAGCTCGCTCATTGATTGTAAAATGGTCCGTGGAGGGGTTGTTGGCTTAGCCCCGTGCCATGTCGATTGGAAAGTAAAATTATGAAGAACTGCAGGCACGTCAAAGCGACGTCTGGACGTCTCCCCTTGATATCACTATGACATCTGGCCATCTTCGTTGGCACAGAAACCAGAGTCAGTGCCCATTCCAGAACGGCCATGAAAATGAGTTTCAATCGAATCAACGAAGAGGAGTAATCCCTGGTAGATGTTTCACATTTATTCAGATGGTACACATGCGCATGCTTTTATACGCCGATTCTTTTATTTCTCAGACAGCTTTGATGCGCAAACGTATTTCCACACAGACAAAACAGACGCAGAATCTTTTGCACACAGGAGCTTTTACCTTGAAGTTTTTGCACGCAGAAAGCGTCTACACACACAAATTCGCTTACACGCAGAAGCTTTTACACACAGAAAGTTTTGTAGACAAGACCCTTTCACGCAAAGGTTCCTTTACACAGATGGCTTTTACACACAATAGCCAATAGCTAGCTCTTACACGCAGAACGCTTACCCACACAGATGCGTTTGCACAAAAACCTCTTTACACACAGATGTTTCTACACACAGATGCTTTGACACGCAGATGCCTTTACACACAGATGCTGCTACGCACAGGTACTATTGGACAGAGAGAACTTTTTCCCCGAGGAGGTTTTACGCACGAAAGCCTCCGAGACAAATCCGGCACAAGGAAGTCGCAATTTATGGTGATTTTTGCTGATTATGATGATGATGATGACGATGATGACGATGACGATGATGCTGATGATGATGATGATGATGATGATGATGATATGGTTGACCTTTCCCAAGTCTGGTAGAGACTAAGTCTATAGCTTCTATAAACAATTGAAATTGTGCCAAAAGAATGATTTCAATGCGATTTGAAAATGCGATGTGTAAAAGAACCAATTTTCAAAATGTGTTGTGAGACATCATGAGACATCAAAATTAAAAAATGATGGTGTGTGACAATTTTCAATCACTTTAAAGGCAGTAGAACTTGACAGGAAGCATTGTCAACACAATGAATTGGAGCTGCTGAAAGGCTAAAATGATTTTTTCTTTGCGACGACCGTTCAAATCGTATTTCTTTTTTTGGGCGATGATTGTTCAAATCACACTTGTTTTTTGCGGTGGTTGTTCACATCATCTTTTTTACGATGATTGTTCAAATCGCGTTTTTGTCTGGCGATTATCGTCTACATTGCTGCAATTTTTTGCGATGATTGTTCACAAGTTTTTTTTGCGATCATTGTCCAGATCGCATTTTTTGGCGATACTGGTTCATTTTCTTTTTTTTGCGAAGAACGTTCCAAACCCAGTTTTCGCGCATTATTTTTGGCAAAGTTCGGCGACATCAATCTCCCAACGCATTTCTGCAAGTCGCAATTTGCATTTTCCAACTTCCGTTTTTAATTGCGCAATTGCAAAAAAGAAAGCTATATATTTTTCTTTGATTTTTTTTCTTCGATTTTTCTTCCCATAGCATTTTCTGCATATTTTTTGGTGGGTGCGCGTACCAAACATAATTTTGCTGCATTTTTTCGATGCGACCGCGTGTCAACCTCATTCCCCCCAATAGAGTATAGAGGATTGGCACTGCCAGCCCCCAAGTTTTGGAGTAAGTTTTTCGTGTTGCCACCTGGCCATCTGGGTTTCCATGCGCGTTGCCCCTTGTTGCAGGCCACAGGCCGCGGTGCAAAAGACAATGTTGTTCCAAGGAATTAAGCTGCAACAAATGTTTTTTTTTCGGACACAGGTTCTTCGTTTGAAAGAAAGGTGTAGCGATATTCACGTGCGGTTGAGGTCTTGATGCAAGTGTTGGGAAAGTGTATGTTCCAGCAGACTCAAAGAGATGCTCTTGACAGAAGGGGCGCAAAGGGAAAGTGATCTTTGCAGATAGGGGAAAGGTGCTACACGTAGTGAGAATCTTGAAAAAAGGCCAAAATTTGGACATGCACTTTTGAGGTGGAAATTAATTCATGTTAGCTTCATACAGTGGTGATGATGATGACGACGATGGTGATGTTGATGGTAAATATACATGTGAATACTTGATAATGCAGACGATGATGGTGAACATGTATAAATTGGCAACAACTCTTTGGACAGAACCCTTCGCATGTCCTTGCAGGGAAAAACACAATATAACATAAGTTACAAGAACACCTTCAAAGAAAACAAGAGAAGACATTACTCAGTAAATTACATAGTTATCACTGATCACGCTTCGTTAACAGTGATGCAAAATCGCCGAGCCATCAGAAGCCGTCAGGTTACATCACCAACACCATGGCCAAATTGGCGAGGTTGTGGAAAGAACGCAGCTCAAAACTGTCAGCCATAGGAAGCTTGGCTTCAAAGTGCATACGCATCCTGCCATTCTTGAGAACACCCGGGTGTGCTTCGGGCAACTCCCATTTTCAAGCATTGTTTGTGGGGACGATTCTTACGTACCTCCTTCCAACATATTTTGCGAATCCCCGAAAAGGGTGCCATGTGTCTTGTGTTGCTGTGAAGGAGGTGAGAAAGACAGTGTGAATTCCTGTCCAAAACGTGAGCGAAAAAATCAGACGGCCCAAACAGTGATGAGGCAAATTCACATTGTCCAGCTGCTGCATCCACGGTTTGTCAACGGAGTCCAAAGAAATGTCGTGCTACGTGGATGTTTTTTTAACCGGGATTCGCAAACAAATTCTTGGGTCTGGTTTGGATGCCCTTTCGCTTCATTCAATTTGCGCTCAAAGTCTGGTGAGCTCAAGGTGCTAGTGAACTCTGCTGATTTTTCATCGCTATGATTTGGTTGATGTTTGTTTGCCGTGCGACGTGGTGGCTGTTTGCTTTGGCACCGGCGCCTAGGAGAATATGCCGCGAATCATCGCGTAAAGACAACCTTGACAGTCAGGCTGAAAAAGTATGTGGACCCTCGGCTGATGAAAAATGAACGTGTTTTTCAGGTTGTTTTCAGGGCGCGCCTCTCAATCATTTGAGTGTTGCTCTGTTTTGTATAACAAGTGCGCATATGGTGAACATGGCCGAGGAACGCGAAGAGGCTGGGGATTTGTTGAACTTGCTGTGCCAGATTGCAGAACAAAGTGCGCCAGCTCCACCTCTGTTTTTTTAATGTTTGCAGAGCTTGGATTTAGTGAAACAAATTGAAGGAACGAAGGAGATTCAAGCAGAACCTTGAGGCTGGCAGAGCTGGTAGAGCTGGTAGAGCTGGTAGAGCTGGTAGAGCTGGTAGAGCTGGTAGCGAAGGGACCTTACCAAACCCTTTTGCATTTTGCGCCATACGCAGTCTTGTTTACCTTCGTTGTAGAACATATTTGTCATACTCCAGAGATACGTTTGGCAGCTGGCACAGGTCAGTCTTGCTTGCTGTTTTGGGCGTTCTATACTCTAGCTAGTTGGAGTTTAGTTAAATGTACTTGGCTGCGCACTTGGCTTTGCTACGCCCGATCTGAGCGTCCCCAGCAATTTTCGACGTCGTACATGCCAGAGGTTCTGAATGAATCGCTATCATCGGACCTTCTGCGAATCTTGCCACTCAGTCTGCACTTCAAGTTTCCTCGTTGTGCGCCTCCCCAAGAAGATTTCACCTGCCGTGCAGGTTCAGTGCCGCAAGGATGGGAGGGTGAAAGACAAGCAATGCAAGACTTCACAAAATTCATGATTGAGACGTGCTGAAACGCCTAGTCATTTGGTCTGATGCTGCTGGTCGCACTAGGAGCCACACACTTTTGCATCATGTGCTCTTCGCGGAGATGAGAGCGAGATACTCACATATCTACGATGATCTTTGCATCCTGTCGGCAAGGATGCATGACTTCATACACCCCCTCATGTTTTCCAAGACAATGCTTCCAAGGCCAAAAGGTCACAGTGAGTCACACACCCGTCATTCTTGCAGAGCAAGAAACCCGAGTTCGCAACATGTACCAAGGTTATGAGGCAATTACTGAGTGACTTGGCGGTGGTTTCTATAGCGCAACAGACTGGAAAGAGATGGCGCATGCACAGAATCTTGAAATCGAGAATGCAATGTGACAACATGTGACAACGCAATACCAGCAATACCAATCAGTGGATACGCAAAGCAATGCAGGACTTACCTTCTTGCTGGCGACATTGTGTTCGAGCCCAATGCGGTCAGTTCTTGTGCCCCGATTGGCACGAAGAATCGGTCACAAGCGCTACTAAATATGAAGAAGCAACGCAAAAATTGCAACTCCTTCCGTAATGTGGACACTACGAAATCAGAACGGCATGAGTAGAAAATTGAGTTTTTGTTCATAATCGCCCAAGCAAGTCTTGTTTCATACCATGTGTTGCGTTTTTTTGATTCCCCACATCTTTGTGTGGGGTTCTTGTTTTTGGTTCTGTATCCCGTCCGCGTCCTCCTCCTCCTCCTCCGCCTCCGCCTCCGCCTCCGCCTCCGCCTCCGCCTCCTCCTCCTCCTCCTCCTCCGCGCGCGCTTTGTCACACACAACTTTGCCACACACAATCTTTCACACACACAACTTTGTCACACGCACACACAACTTGGTCACACACTCTCTCTTTCACACACAACTTTGTCACACACACACACAACATCTTTCACATACACAACTGTGTCACACACCATCTTTCAAACACAACTTTGTCACACACACACACACAACTTGGTCACACAGTCTCTTTGTCACACGCAACTTCTTTCACACAACTCTGTCACACACCATCGTTCACACACAACTTTGTCACACACACACAACTTTGTCACACACTCTCTTTCGCACGCAACTTTGTCACACACAACTCTTTCGCGCACAACTTTTTTTCACACACACACACATCTCTCTCACACAACTTTGTCACACACACAATCTTTCACACACATCTCTCTTCCATGCAACTTCTCTTTCACACACACACACACATCTTTGTCACACACAAATTGGTCACACACACACACACACGCACACACACACACACAAGCTCCTTTGCACCCCCGTGTGCACTCAAGTGCTCCACCAAGCGGAGCCGCAGCCATTTCTGCTGCCCACGTTCAGCCCCGACGGCTAGCCATCTTGCAGGTATTGCTCTGGCACGACAAGGACGCCAGCCACTGGAACACAACATCGGGATCCTTATTTTCCTTTAATTTCTTTGACCAATTGAATTTGGGGGTGGCTCCCCTCCATTTTTACTGACTGGCCATCATCATTTACATTCTTTGGGCTGTGCCCCTGCAATCCATTTGGAACAACGACGTGCTTTGTGAAGACGCTCCTCTGGTTCAGTGGTGGGCTCTTCACCACACTTTTTGGTTCACATCAATCACAGCACTGGTGCATTCAGCTCTGGGGATTGGGCTCCCTTGTTACACTGACTGGCCCTTGGGTGCACCAGCAGCGTAAGGGGTTGGACGCCCCCACTGACTGTTCCAACAATTCGCGACAATCCGCCGAAGCAGATTCAGATTGTGCAACGGGATACAATACAACAGCTGAGTACAGGGTGGGCTCCTGTTATTTACCTTTTTCACTGGCCCAGGAACTGAATACTTTCAATTCTGTCCTCTCCCTGGTTGCTGATCCAACTTGCGGAGTGGGCTCCAAGGAGAACAAACCATTGGCCATTGCGAGCGGCGCTTCTTTTCCACTGTGCTTGCTGCACCACACTGGACCAACGGACCAATTTTCACGACAGGCTGCATTAATTTGCGGGGTGGGCTCCCATACATTATTCTCACTGGCCCTGGATTTCATTGGTTTCTACTCACAACTTTATTCAACAGTGGTCCTGCAGACAGACCAAGGTACAGGGGTGGGCTCCCTCACAAATTTTTCACTGGCCCTCAGCATTTGCCTTGGCACTTCCTTGGACCCGAGGAATCTACACTGGAGTGGGGTGGGCTCCCAGCAACATTTCTCACTGGCCCTGGCTGACAGAGTGAATTTTGCCTTCATTTTGCCTTATTTGAAGAACGCACTCATTTCCAGTCCAATAGCGGCGCTGACCTTTGCTGCGCTTTTCACTGGAAAACTGGGGGACTTGCAAGCAGAATTCTATTGCACAGGGTTGTTCCTGTTTTCCAGCAGCAGTCTCAATTGCGTTGGCGGCCTTTTTCCCATATTTTTTGCTCCTGCGGAAGTTTCTCTGATAGCCACAGACAAAAGACATCCCATATTTTTTGCTCCTGCGGAAGTTTCATTGGCTAACACGGACACACCTGTCCTGGATTGCACTGCATCGGAGACATTGAGAGATTTGAAACTTGAAGCACATTGCAACAATTTGATATTGAAATTTTTCACCTGCGCTGACAGTCATTTTCCCATATTTTTTGATCCCGCGAACGATTGTGGTGCTGACAAGAGGTTCACAGGACTTGTTTGCCTTGCTCAAGTAGGTACATTGATTCTGGTTGTCTTGTGCTGTACGAGACTGAGTCAGTTTGTATCGCCCAAAGCTGCTGGCACACCATCCTTTGGCCTGTCAAGCATCAAAAAAGGTGCTCCTGAAGTGCGAAGTGAGAATAACAGAACCTCCTGTAAGCATACCTGCGTCAGTGTTCCCTGCCTATTGTCGAGCAAGGACACGCAACTTGCCAACGGACTGTACTGTGGGCCACCGATTTGGCTCAGTGCGCAAAACCTGTTTTCCAACTTTTGGTGCAAACCTGGTCCCAATTCCAGGGGTAGATCTGCTGCTATCACTGCTAGAACGTGCAGCCGATTCGTGCTGAGTTTTTGCTGCCTGATACTCATCCTTGCCACCACAATAGGATCTACCAGGAGCGAGGGTTGCATCTTAGTCATGGAAGATGCTGAAGTGTCACATACTCATGTTCACACCCCTGGGTCTCATGTTGACGCGAAGCCACATGACACGCGGCCAGAAACATGCGGACACGCAAAACGCTGGCTACCAGCAACACGGCAGATCGTAAAGAGAAGCCTGAAACGAGCATATGCCAGATCTCTGCAACACGGGATCTCATGGTATCGTGGCAGGAGCTACACTCCACATGACTTTCCCAGGGCATTGCGTGACTCCTATCAACCTCCACCACAGAAGCCCCCTGGAATGTCCAAGCCGCTCATCACCTGCAATGAGCTGCACACAGACAAGCAACGGTTCCGTGTGCTGAACTGGAATGCGGGGGGCATTGGGGCTTTTCGAGTGGATGAGTTGAAAGTTTGGATGTTGAACCAGTGCATCGAAGTGGCTTTCATAACCGAGACCAGATGGTGCTTTGAAAACACGTGGATGGATGAAAACTTTCATTTCATACACACAGGGGATCCTTCCCACAAAGGAATGGGTATTCTTTGCATTTTGGCCAAGCACTTTTGTCCTGCCAACTGTTTGCGATGGAGACCAGTGGTGCCTGGACGGCTCCTGCACGTGCAAGTGCAACATGCCTCCAGATGTGTTGACCTTGTGGGGTGTTACCAACACACCTCTGTTGCCACCCGGCAATGCCAACAGCACAGAGAGCAGCTCTGGGCCCAACTGGACTCGTTCCTGCATGGACTTGTCCAACGCAACATATTAGTTTTGGCAGGGGATTTCAACTGTGACCTTTTGCAATCCACTTCACACAGTGGACCAGATCAGTTCTACTGGAACAGAACCCTCACCCGAGGGGCAACACATGCTGACAATGGAAGATTTACCACAATACTGAGAGACCATGGACTCACGGCCTTGAACAGCTGGCAACCACAACTGGGGCCGACTTTTGTTCATGCTGACACCTGTTCCAGGATAGATTTTATCATCACGCGCAAACACGTTGCAGATGGTGCCGCCAAGCAGGTGACATACGCCTGGGATACTCCATTCCAAGGGCCCACCGGTCACGTACCCATGGTAGCCAATCTTAGGAAGCAATGGTTCCAGACCAAACGTGCACAGAATGCCTGGGGAGTGACACCACAGCAGAGAAAGCAATGCCTGTTTGCCTATCAAACCAATGCACCGGAATGGCAAGAGTTTGCACACCAAGCTGCAACGCGTTTGATGGCCAGCCTGCCTGAGGTCCTGACCTTAGATGATGCGCTCATACCACAATTGCACCACTTGGCCAACCAATGTTTACACGAGTTTTTTCCACATGCACGACCAAACCAAAAACCTCATGATTCAACATTCACCAACATAGTCCTTAACAAGTGGCAACACAGACGGGCACTGATGAGACTGACGACACAAACGCTGCCAAACATGTTTCAAGCGTGGATGCACTTGGCAAGTTTTGCCAAGTTGAACCGACGATCCAAGCAGCATGCCAAGACAGTCAGAAAGCACCGTTTTGATGAGGTCATTCAAAGTGCCAGTTATGCTGCACAGAGGCATGACAGCAAAACACTGTTTGCCATCATCAACAAGTTTTCCCCCAAAACCTCCATGAGAAAGATGCAGTTACGCAATCCCCAGGGACACATTGCCTCACCGATTGAAGAGGCTGCACTGTTGAAGAAACATGTCATGGACACATGGCGTGGACCCTGCACCTTTCCCACTGCTGCACATCGCTTCTCAGGCATGCCCTTCACGGTGGAGGACCTGGAGAAGGAACTGAGCCAAATACCGGTGTCCAAGGCAGTGGCACGCCCATGCGCTCCTGCCCCAGTGTGGCGCATGCTTGCTGGCACACTTGCACCACCATTGCATGCACTTCTCACATACTGGTGGGATCGCCCTGAGCCGTTCATACCAAGTTGGTTTCGGGATGCATGGATGTTGCTCATTCCAAAACCGCACAAGCCTCCCACGACACCGGGGGCATTGCGCCCCCTGGCGCTGCAGGAACCCATCAGTAAGTGTATTGTAGGTCTGCTCACCAAAGGTGCCATGCGTGAGGCGTTTCCGGTTTTCTGCCAAATGCCCCTATGGGCCTATCTCCCAGGGAGATCGACTCAAGAGGCCTTACTCAGAGTCTCCAGACATTGCCACTTAGCCAGGACATTGACTGCCAGCTCCAAATCCAATCCTTTTACGAGACAACAGGGAATTGCCAGATGCCGATTAGTGGGGGGCCTACAATTGTTTCTAGACATTGAAAAGGCTTTCGATGGAGTGTGCCGTGAAAAACTTTTCAGCAGACTTGGTGAGGTCGGCATTAACCCCCAAATTGTGGTGTTGCTATCTCACTGGCACCAAAA